TGCTCCAAATGAGGGTTCCAGAGAGGCTCTTGGGGCTTAGGCAGACGACTGAGTAACACATGTGATCCTATGAGGGCTTCGACTGATTTTAGGAGCGTTTCTGTCGTGCAGTAGGGCGAGGCCAGATGCGGGCCTCCCCCTTCCCAAGTTCTGATGCGTGAGGAGCTCTCAACGAATGCGAGCCTTCAATCGAAGCTCTCATGACTGTGAAGTCCTGCCCTCAGTTATTCGCTGCATTGAGGCCCAATATTTTGAGGAGTGTTGCAGGCGGCCTACTTTCTCTACTATGCAGGGCACTCCGCCGCCGCGCATGGAGGGCCCCAAGGATTTCAATGAGATCTGGAAGTGGCCAGCTGACGTCAATGATAAGCTCTTGGGTGATCAGCCTATGTCCGAAAGGTACACCAGCAACATGAAGGAAGGCGTGATCTTTCGGCTCCATTACGCTGGCTGCCTCACCGAGACCGTCGGCATGAATTATGTGGCTGATGATCTGAGGAAGCGCGGCGTGGGCCCCATCGACGCGAGGACGGTCCACTCCTGCGATGTCGCCAACGGCCCCCAGAAGGTGTTCCACAATATGCCAGAAGAATCGCGCCCAGTACATGGCTTCGCAGACATAGAGGATTTACTACCAATGAATGTGCGTATGGAGCTTGACGGCATGTAACCAGATTTTCGCGAGTGGACATCTGCGAGGACTGATGTGGACAAGAGCATCGTGAAGGAGAAGCACATGCAGGCCTACATGTCGATGGCAACATATCTGAAGAGGCAGGTGGAGAGGGGCGTCTTCAAAGGAAACAAGGCCAAGTGCATTCGTCATGACACGTTGTGTTCGGCATCTTCTTGGGAACCAGACTCTATGTTCACGAAGGCGCTCAAGATTGAATCGGCTGGATCCACTTGCGTTGCATGGAGCGACGCGGGTGAGCACACGGGGTATGCGCACCCATCAATGCGCACCATGTTGGTCTGGGCCGCGCTCGTGCTGAACACTATGCCAGACGTCATCGCCCACGAGTGCGTCAAATCATTCCCCATTTGGGTGCTGGAATCTTTCTTTGGTCGTGACTACAACATGCACACGTTCGAGAGCATAAGCCCTGTGAGCAGGGGACTGCCGAGTAGCCGGGAGAGGCGGTACACTTTCTTCTTCAAGAAGGAGTCCGTGCTTTTCTTTGGGTCTTCTCAGGAGTTCGAGGTGATGTTCGACAAGGACTGCGTGCTTCCAGGATCTGTATACTTCAACGACACTGAGGAGAACGTCAAGAACGAGTTCATGGAGCTTGGAGTCAGGCGCAAGGTGAACCCGTCTTGCATGAGTCACAAGATGGATTGGAAGGAGCTCTACCCGCCAGGGGCTGTCGCACGCCTCGACGCCGCAGTGAAGTCCTATCGGAGCGATACCGGGGCCAGTGAAGACATCGTCGTCGATGTGGACAGGATCTGCGTCTCGGGTTATCACTTCCCATCCCTGGTGACGCATGGGATTTGGTATTCCACGAAGCTCAAGAGGCACATGACCCCCAGGGAGACCTTGTGCGTAGCAGGAATCCCTGCAGTCCCCGCCGCCATGGATATCTTGGACCTCCCTTGGAAGAAAGCTTTCGACGCTCTGACGACTGCTGAGACGAGGATCCTTGCTGGCAATACCATGCACATGGTGGCCGCAGCGCAGCTGATGGCGCACGTGATCGCTAACACGCTGAAGCTCGCGCCACTGCCGCGCAGCGGCACCCTTGACTTCGACGAGATCCAGCCCGACTCTCAGGTCATCGATATCGAGGACGACAGCCAGGTCGCAGACATCGGACTTGCGAACATCCAGTTCGAGGGTACAGGCGTCACCAGCCTGGACTCCTGTGGGCCCTCCTCTTCGAAGAGGCGCAGGCTGGGCCGCCCGTCGCGATGATGTTCTTAGGCCCAGGCTGTGCGACCATCAATCTTTGACAAATAGCCTGCCCTCTTCAAAACAAATTCATCTCAGGGAGGATGTCCCAACCTCCGAGCGTCACTGCACACTGCAGTTACGGATAAGAGCGAGGGGGAGGAGGGTGGAGGATACGTGGGGCTCGCGGCCTCAGAGGGAGGAGAACGAGCAGCCCCCTGGCGCACATCGCTTCAAGGATTTGATCTGACTTGGTGGGCCTCGTGTGGCCCCATCTCCTCTGAGCCGATCTTCTAAAGGCTCTGTAAGACCGTTCGGCCACGATTGCAGAGGATGGGTTCCTGCGTTATCCAGGATACATGTGAGGCCGACGCGCCTACGAGGCGAGTGAACCAACACCACTCTGACAGATCTAACACACACACACACTAATTCTTGGCATAGTCGTGTATCTATGTCACATATAAACATGTTCACCCATGCAAGATGGTGTCACGTAAATTTACAAGATGCTGTTACGTAAAAAACACGAAAGCACAAATGAGGAAGGGACTTGGGACGGGAACGTATTCGTGAGCATCCCGAGGGCCCAGACAACGCTCACGTTTTCAGATGTCCTAGATTCTAGAGCTGTCGATTCGATTGCTTGCGCTGCTGTTGCAGCAATCTGAGGGGTCCGAAGGTGCATTGCAACATCGCTGTTGCGCCATTGGTCTACTCCCACTCCTCCTCCTCCTCCTCATCATCATCATCATCCGCCAATGTTGGCGGATTCCAGCCGGATTTCGAGCAGAAGTCCGCTGGGGATTTTGGCCTGACGTGGCCTCCTCATCCGCCAATGCCGTGCCGTGTCGTGCATATGGTGATGAGACGCTCCCGTGTTACGGTTATGCGTCGTGCTTTAAATGCGATGTTGTGCCGTGCGGTGTGAATCCAGTATGGGTCGTTCCTCGCTTAGAGCAGGATCGTGAACTCATTCTGCCGTTGCGAGCGTTTTGTCTCAAGTTGTTTTTTTTTGTTTGAGATTGGGAGGCGGTTCGACACTTGAGATTACGTATCATCCTTTTGTCCTGGGGTATGGCGCCCAAGAAGAAGAAGGGATCAGTTGCGAAGGCATCAGCCTCAGCTGCGAAGGCGATCGCAAGGCCTGGGCAGCAGAGCCTGCGACACTTTTCGACACCGTCGGCCGCGGCTGCGGCTGCCAGGACCAGGCCGCCCGCGGCGGACCAGCCTTTCCCTGTCCTGGACGAGGATCAGGCCGCGTTGGAGGGGCAGGCCGCGGCAGCCACAGCAGGGACGACTGCCGCGGCGGAGCTGGCGGCCGCGGAGGCCCCGTCGGCCCAGGAGGAGGCTGCGGCGCCTGAGGTAGCCGAGGCTCCAGACCTTGAGCTTGAGCGAGCCTCCACGCCCACGCCAAGGTCGGAGCAGCCAGCTGCGGCGCCAGGGTCGCCAGCGCCAGCAGGCTCTGACTCCGAGTCCGTGGGCGAGGAGGCTGCCGAGGTGTCCGAAGTACGAATGCATGATCCCAGCAGCGTCTCAGCCCCCGCCCCATGATGAACATGGAACAACTCAGGGGGGTTCGACTAGTTGTTCCCTACCTAGGCTCTGCCTAGAAGGGTTCTTACTCTATATCTTAAAGGGGCCGGGCAGTGTTGCCCGCCATGGGCGGTTCCCCTGGGCCCCAGTGGCGGCCCCAGTCCCCTGGGGGCGGTTCTCCCAGTCTTAGCTTTAGCTTAGCTTTAGCTTCAGCTTAGCTTCAGCTTAGCCTTAGCTTAGCTTTAGCTTAGCTGTAGCTTCGACTTAGCTTTGCTTGAGCTTAGCTTTAACTTAGCGTTAGCTTAACTAGCTTTAGCTTAGCTTTAGCTTAGCTTTAGCTTAGCGTAGCTTTACCTTAGCTTAGCTTTAGCGTAGCTTTAGCTTAGCTTAGCTTTACCTTATACTTACCTTAGCGTTATCTTAGCTGTACCTTAGCTTTAGCTCAGCTTTAACTTAGCTTTAGCTTAGCTTTAGCTTGGCTCAAAATTATGCTTAGCTTAGATTTAGCTTAGCTTTAGCTTAGCTTGAACTTGGCTTTAGCTTAGCTTTAGTTCAGTTTTAGCGTAGCTTTAGCTTAGCTTCAGCTTAGCTTTAGCGTTGGCTTAGCTTTACTGTTACTACTAATGCTGCTTTCCTAGAGGCTCCAACTCCTAGGTAGGGTCGCACTGGGATGATTTGATGTTCACCAAGCAGTCCTGGCCCAGCGAGGTGACGCTTGCTGGGGGAACGCCGCCGCTGGACAGTGCGTCCCGCCTGCTGGAGGATCCGAGGTCCGTCTGCAAATCGTCCGATGGGCAAATTCGTGTTGGAGTGAAAAGCCCCGTGCGTGTGAGGCTGTGCGCGTTAACTGTTCTGTTGACATGTCCAGGGGTTTTGATGAGTTGGTTTTGATTTTGAGTTTGGGCGTTGTGGAGTTTGATTTTGAAGAGTTTGGTTTGAGGAGTTGGGGTGTGGGGATCTTGTTCCGCCTGCACAGTGCGGACATTGCGGGCCGCTCCCATCCCCAGGAAAGGATTTGTGTAGATAAGTTTGAAGAGATTTCGGATCGGATTCACCTCGTTCTCACCCGTCCCTTTTTTTCACGCCCCGCATGAGTCGCGAGGACGCTCCGACCGACGGCGCCTGCAACGAGCCACAGCAGGGGAGGCCGCCTCAGCCGCCGCCAGAGGAGCTTGAGGCAGCCGCAGATGCGGCAGAGGAGGCGGCGCCAGTGCCGCCAGAGGAGGAGCCTGAGGCGTCCGCAGAGGTTGCCGCAGAGGCGGCAGAGGATGAGCCAGTCGATGACGAGTCGTGGGCACGGGCTGAGTCAGTAAAGAAGGAGGCTCGTGGAGCAGTGGATTCATTGTTAGAGGACTTGGACCTACATGATGACCTTGTAGGCGGGGGACTCCACCAGACTGGTGACTGTGTCGGCGCCAGCCCCAGCCCGGCGCCCAGCCCCACAGCTGGCCGCAGTGACAGGGTGGATGCTGCGCCGCCCCCGCCCCCGCCGCCAGCGCCGCACCCTGAATCTGAGCCTCGCAAAGACATGAAGCGGAAGGGGTCTCGGAGGCCTTGCCCCGTGTGCAATGAGGTGCATGATAAGATGCCAGCAAATTCGCCATACTGCTACAACCACAAGGAGATAGTGGAATTCGCATGGCACCAAGCCTCCAATCTACCGACAGCACAGGAGCGGGAACAAGCAAAGCAATACTTCATGCACTGCAGGGACAAGGACCCCGTCAAGTTCACGCAGCTGATCCTTGACGCGGAACAGCAAGCTGGGGAGAGGCGTGGGCGAGGTATCAAGCGTAAGTGGTTGGATTGGTCCCAGTACACTGAAAGGGCGGCAGTGAAGAAGGAGGTAGAGGACGCTGGCAAGCTTAAGTGGTGTGATTACGTCGACTGGACTTACTACTACACGGTCAAGCGGATGAAGCCTAGAAGCGCGTCTGATGAAGAATGGAAGGAAGCTATTGGAAAAACCAAGGGGACAGAATGGCAGAGGGGCACTGGCGACACTGTTGAGATTCTTGTGAAGAAGGGTGATTACGTTTCCTACAAGCAGGCGCTGTCTCTTACCCAGGAATGGGCGACAGGGGAAAAGCAGAAGAAGAATCCTACGGAGGCCGACTACAAGAAAGCCATGGAGAAGATCAAGACAGGCCACGCGTCCTTCAGCGACTCTATCTTCAAAGCGTTAACTGGCAGTGCCGCTGCAAGTACTGCGCCTCACGGGGATCATCATGTCGGTAGCGGCGGCTTCGTTGAACTTGGTGCTGACGACGGCGAGCCGAAAAAGCAGAGGAAGCAGAAGCATGAGCCTGTGCCGCTATCCGCTGAAGGAGGAGGTCCATCGTCTAAAAAGAAGGGCGTGATCCTGGGTTCGCAGCAGCTGAAGGCGCAAGGTTCGCTGAAGAATTCCCTCGACGCCGAGCTCGCTCACTGGACGGGGAGTGGCGCGAATGCCGCCGTTCCCGACCTGGTTGAACAAGGAATCCGCGACTCCAAGGATAAGATCAAGGATGATGCTATTCACAATGGGGTATGTGAGGGCCACTTGTTCAGTTTGAAAATCCGCCTCGACGTGTTGAAAGCGATCCACGTCGCTGATCTGCAAAATGTGATTCGGGGCTTCGATAACAAGTCCAAGGCGCAGCTCCCCGTCCCGGTGGACAGGTTGGCAGACGTGAAGGACATCAAGTCCAGGATCGCAGGGATCATGGAGACTGAGACCAAGGAGGCCTTGAAGACTTCAGAGGCGAGCATCCAGCAACTGATCAACTACATCTCGCAGGTCCGCTCGGCCGTGATGGTTGGCATCAAAGACTTGGGTACAGCTGTGACTCAGTATTACAAGCGGATTGAAAAAGAGGAGAAGACTGCGCAGGCTCAGAAGGAGAGGGCAGCGAAGGCAGCAGCGAAAAAGGCTGCAAAGGAGGCTGGGAAAAAATCGCCGCCAACGGCCCCAACCGCAGATGAGCCTCGCAGCATCTTCGACACGTGTTGGGAGTTGATCGGTCAGGAGATTACGAAGTACACAGACATGGCAGACTTTGCGCAGAAAGGAAACGACGGCCGCGATCCCTACATCATTGCCAATGCTGACAAGATTAAGTCGTACATCGAGCAGGCTGGGAACATCAAGACTGGGATGGCCTCGTTCACTGCCACATTCACGGACTCGGCTCAAGCAACGATCACTGGCCGGGCGTCCTGCCCACTGAATGCTTCGTCTGGCGCGGTGTCCAGCTTGAAATCGATGATGCGACAGTGCGCTCCGCGTACACCCGAGACCTTGTTGGTCGAGGATAAGATTCCAACGCTGGGCACGAGCTTCAGCGGGGCGTTGGACACGCATCGCAGTGCCTACTTCGAACACCTTGGGCTTGGATCGATTCGCTACGGCATCAGCGGCACCCGGGACCTTGTGATATTCAAGTACGACTCCCTGGCCCACGCCTTTCCCGAGGAGGGCCCTTTCAACATGTTGAAGCAGCTTTGCCAGGTTCCTTGAATACCTAAATCTGTCTATCGACTCCGACTGCGAGTATACAACACGACCTAATAGTTTTTTTTGCGGGGAGGGTAACTGATGATCCAGCGTTAGAGGAGGGAGAAGGAGGTCGAGGAGGATGAGAAGGCAGAATGAGGCACTGCAAGGGCCCTTTGAGGCCCAGCCCCAAACGGTTTCCCATCGCGTCCTTCGTTGTGGCGCCTTTGCTTTAGCTTTGGAGCTCTCGGAGGTGCCCGTCGAGAAAGCGAAGCCCATCCTGGAGCTGGGTGTTTTCGTGCGGGTCCCTCCTGGGTCATTGTTGGTGGTGCCACCTGCTCACATCATTCTGGAGGAGGGCTACAAGAAGCAGCAGACCATCGGATTGCGTGTGAGCTTCATGGACTTGCGTCAGAAAGACATGTACAGTAAATTCATTGCTTGCATCCAGGAGAGTGACCCAAAGTTCGCCCAGCTCTCAACGATGAACAAGGTGGTCAAAGCCCTCGATGGGCTTTCGAAGTTGTCGAGTGAGTCTGCGGGGAGCCGCGATGGCTGCCCGATGGCCTCAGCGGTGCAGCCTCCGTCCTGAGGGCTTGAGGGATGAGTTTTTGTGTTTGGGTGGCGGTGGGCCGCCGTGGGGTCGCACTCAGTAGACTGAGTGCGCAATGCAGTTTGACAAGTTACGTTCTGATGATCGTGTCGGCAGCCAGAGACTATTCAAAAACATGAGAAGGTTTGAGCACGGAATCTGTCAGATGTTCTAAGGACCTAGGAATCGAGGAATCGAAGGACGGGGATTGTGGAGTGTTGGTGTTGAAGATTGGCCACGCCTTCTTCCTTCCTCCTCCTCCCCCTCCTCCTCCTCCTCCTCCCCCTCCTCCTCCTCCTGCTCCTCCTCCTCATCCTCCTCCTCCTCATCCTCCTCCTCCTCCTCCTCCTCCTCCCGCCCTGCAGCCGCCAGAAGATGTATGAGCCTAAATTGGCTCGCGATTTTTGTTACTTGTCTTCGTCATGTACTTAGTTACGGCCCCTCCTCATTTTTTTTCGGGACCAGGTGAACATCCAGGGCGAAAAACTTGTTCCTGGGAAGGGCGTCGACGTCGTCGAATCGTCTTTGTCGCCGCCGCCGCCTTCGCCATCGTGTCGGCGCCGCGCCGCTGGGGCCGGGTCGGGCCGACCGTGGGCCGTGAGCCCGTGGGCCACGTGGGCGTCGCCACGGAGTCGCCCAGGCCGGAGAGGAGGCCAGGGGCCGCGGGAGGATGGCGGCTTGGCGACGACGAGAGCGACGACGATGCTGACGGTGGCGGCGGGGTCGGACGGACGACGCTGACGGTGGAGTAGACCTAGTTAAGACCGCCAATGTTTAGACCTAGTCGCCTCGACCGAACAGACCTAGTCGCCTCGATGGGTCGGACGGTCGCCTCGACCGCCAATGTTTAGACCTAGTCGCCTATGCAGCTGGTGGAAGCTATGTGGTGTAACCTGTTGGTAGCTACGGGATGTACGCTATGTCATGCAAGCAGTGTATGCTGGCTTTCCTGCCAGAGCTTCTCGGCTATATATGGCTATCTTATGTAAGCTTACCTGGATGGGGTAATAATCGCCCGTCTTTGATCCACCAGGGGGTTTGGCACGTGCCCTTGGAAGGGGTGGAGGAGAGGCTGGAGGAGGAGGAGGAGGAGGTGGTGGAAGGAGGAAGAGAAGGGGGAGGAGGAGGAGGAGAAAAGGGGGGGGTGAGGAAGCTCCGTCGGAAGATTAATCACCCCTCTTCGAAAATTATGCTATCCAGAGTACGCGATGTAAGCCCAACGAGAAAATTCGTAAACGTTTCGCTCAGCTTGTGCTTATCTATGCGTGTAACGCGTGGATCAACACTTTCTGAATCAGATGCGCGGTCGGGGGCGTTCGCCCTCCACGTAGATGAGCATGCACTCTGCGGCGCCCCTGGCCAGTGCGGCAGGCTTCCCAGGGAAACTACTCACGGGGACGTATTGAAATAAGAAGAGGCGCCATGAAAGCTGTGGACGTATCATGGCACCCGCCATGGTATCCACCCCCCCCCTAGTCAGCACCCCCCTCTTGGCCGGCCCCGCTGGGCGCCTGGGCGGACAGTCCAGGAGCCCGGGAGCCTCGCCGAGGGCGTAGGCGATCGGGGCCCCAGGCACGGCCGCCGTGCCACCACGGCGGACGCTGGGGCTCCTCTGGCCGAGGCGAGCCTCGGCCCCGAGGAGGCTCCTCGGCCTGAGTCTACGATTGGCGGCGAGCGAGGCGGGTAAGTGAGAGGGGGCGGGCCTTCTCAAAAGGCTCAGAAGTCCCCAGGATTTCTGAAAAGTGTTTTTAGCCTTCCCCGCCTTCCCCGGAGACACAACAAACTTCTCAGACGGCGCGAGGGCTTCTGAGAAGTCCCGTCGCCTTCTGAGAAGGCCCTCTCCTTCTCACTTCCCCCCCTCGCTCGCAGCCAATACGAAACTGCGCCCTTCAACCAGGGCACCTTTTGAACCCAAAGTGCTCCGTGCACGGGGAAACCCAACAACGATACTGCTGCTCGCCTGACCTCTCCCAGGGTGCGCTCTGACCAAAATGCCGCGGCGAATCCAGCGGTGGCCACGAGGGCCTCCCAGGAGGACCAGAAAGGCGAAAACGAGGCAGGGTAGCGGTACCATTACTCTTCCTCCTCTGATGCAATCATCCTGCTACCACAAGGAACACTGAAAAGGAACGAAGGGGCCTTTCTGGCCGCGGCAAGCCTCGGCCGCGAACAGGTCTCCAGACTTGGGTTTCTGGAGCGGCCCGAAAACCAGAGCTCCTCCTGAGCACAAAGTGACGTTTTCTTATTGGGCGTTTCGACATGAGGCGGAAGGGGGGGGGGAGGGGGGGGTCTGGCTCCGGACCTCTGCTTAGTGCGACTTGTTGAGACAGTGCGTCCCGTGCGGGAGACTCTACCTTTTCTGGCGCCGAAAACAGCCAAAATCCACTCCATCGGGGGGGAGGGGGGGTACGAGGGTTCGCGCCGAACTGCAAAACAAGGGATCAGAAAACGATCATGCGTTCAGCGTCTTCACTGTATCTCAGAGTCTTAGTCTTGACTGCACGCGCGATGCTCCCCTCCTGCCCCCTGGAACTCACCGCCCCCGCCGCAGCCGCCAGCCTGCTGCGAGACCCACAGCAGGTATTCGAAGTTGCCGCCCACTGGTGTCCACCTCGGATCGGGAGGCGGGGCGGGGCTGGCCGCGGGTGGGCACGGGAAGCGGGCAAGATCCTCCTCCTCCTCCTTCTCCTTCTGCTCCTCCTGCTCCTCCTTGACTCTACTACTACTACTACTACTACTACTACTACTACTACTACTACTACTACTACTACTACTACTACTACTACTACTACTACTACTACTACTACTACTGACTACTACTACTACTACTACTACTACTACTACTACTACTGGCGGTCTCGTGCACCACATCACCACGGCTCAACCACCTAGGGAAGAGCGTCCTTGTGGCTGCCTCATTGCCAGTATGTAGCGCGCACCTCTTCTGGGTGAAAGGGCGGGTCTGACATGCTTGCAACGTCAAGCGCTCGCACCGTGGGCAGTTGGACCAACAGCCCAGAGTGAAGCGCCAGCAACGGCACAGCAGCACACGGGGCGACCCCAGTACCGCCACCCAGGCCGACTAGCGCGAGCAGGCGCGAGGCAAGGCCTGGATGGCAAGCCAAGAGCGGGTCTGACGTGCATGCAGCAGCTGGCGCCTGGCCGAGGGCAACTGGTCCCTACAGCAAAAAGTAAGGCGCAGGCGGCAGCATAGCAGCACACGGGGCGACCCCAGTACCGCCACCCAGGCCTACAAGCGCAAGAAGGCGCGAGAGGAGGCCAGGATGGCAGGCCAAAGTGGCCAGGCGCCTGACGGCGACGCTGCGGTACACGGGGCTGCCCCAGCACCGCCAGCGAGGCCAACGAGCGCAAGTGAGCGTGAGGGGGCCGAGATGGCAAGCCAGTTGGCGAGCCAAGGTGGCTGGGCGCACAGGTAGTCTTGCGCCGAGCCTAGGCAAAGGCTACAGGTGCCGCCACGCGAGGGGGGCGCCGCTATGGGCCCGCCGCACTACAGAGAGTGGCAAGTAGACAATTTGGCATGGACTCACGCGGCCTGCCAGTCGAAAGTGACTATGGTAAGTCAACCAGCATCCGATTCCATGGACATCGGATGGCAAATAGCGCCCGGTATCGTACTGAGGCTGTTCAGTAAGAAAAATGGACGGATAAGATAGGATAAGATCGATGTAGTGATCTTTCCATCACATAGCGAACACTCGCGGTGTCCCGGCAAGTAGGGCGCGCGTGCCTTGAGCAAAAGGCAACGGCGCGCGAGCTACACTCCCGATTCTATATAACATCTCCCAAAGAGCTACCCTTAAAGTCGGGAGGGGAGGCGACGGAAAGTATAGCCGCGCAGCCGTTAGGCTCCACAAAGGCCGCGCGCGCAACTGTTTGCAAGAAAACAATGCGTACAGACTGGCCGAACACCAGACTGTAAGGCGAGTTTCCTCGCAAGGCATTTCACGCAAATACGAGACAGCCCCTTGAATGGTAAAGGGCTATCGGCCCGGCTAGAGGTAAGCCAAACGGGCCATACCTCACCGAGCAAACGGGTATCAAGGCAAAGAGCCTGAATCGCATTGAACAGGCTCGTTACCAAGCGTGAAATGTAAGGCTCGTTTCCGAGCACCTAGAAGGGCGCCTCTGTAGTAGGCGCCCACGCTGGCAAATTGGACCGCGGGGGTAACACGGACAGACTAAAATTGATTAGACTTAAGCTTGTTTCTGTCCTCGGGACCCCGAAAGGGAACAAACTGCTTCACGTCATACTTAAATGACTGGTTGCCTGACATCACTTCCAAAAGCAGCTCCCGATCGATGCTCTCCTTTGTATGCCCATCTGCTGTCATATCTCTAGTATCACACCACTGCACATTATGCACTATACCTATACCCATGAGCTCACGTATCCAGCTGATATGTCCAAGCAAGGTCCGTTCCGTCGGTATATTAAGATCCTTGCCGGATAGCGATTTATAAACCGACTCAGCGTCTATGGTAAGGGATACTTTAATGGCTAGGCCCCCAACTTCACGCATATCTCGTAGTTGTCGTGGAGTCAGAGCCCCTGCCTTGAGCTCGTGGAGAGTGATGAGCGTAGGGTAACACTCATCAAGGTTGTGTGCAGCTGCGAGTGCCTCAGCGGCATAGCTGGCCCTCACCTGCAGTCGGTGTGATTTGCATAGTCCGTCACAGAGGTGAACGACGGATTTGCCTTGAGGCGAGTTTCCTCGCCGTAGTACGTTGGCCCCGCGTATGCCATAGCCCTTGGTCTCATCGTCCTCCTCCCCGGTGAGCTTCCGACACCCCGAATCACTGTGTATGTCAACTTCATTCGTCGGCTTCATCCGAGGGAAGGTGATGCGTTTCGGGCTGCTGATCAGTTTTCGCGTCACAGCATTCAGTCGTCTGACTTGCAGGTTGGTGGGCTCTTGGATTTTCTGGAGAGAGAGAGAGAGAGAGAGAGAGGGAGACCACGTATACCATGAGCCAGACTTGAATAAGAAGGGCATAGGCGAGGGCTCCTCGCAAGCTGACGAACATGTCGGTGATGAGTTTGGTGGCTTTGGTATCGGCCGCCGCTCCTGTAAGTTCTGGGTGTGTGATAGGACGTAGTTGTTTGACATGCTCGTCCTGATCCATGATCGCATCCCCTTGGTCATTCTTAGTGTAGCGAACGGCGCAGTTCGTATATGAGTGTTTGTTAAGTTTGCATTTGCCAAACACCTTTTTCGACACGTTGTACATAGTCGTCTATATTTTTCTCTAGGCCTGTCATATTAATGTCATCGACATGTTTTGCCGTTAACAAATCTTGGCTGAATTCAAATTCAGGATCATAACTTGTCGGTGTAAGGCCTATAGCTCGTGTGGTCGTACGAAGCTTGAGAGAGAACGCTCTTGGGGCGTCCTTTGTACCCGTTCCTGGCTTGAGGCACCTGAAGCAGCGTCGGCTTTCGTCGTAGGATGAAAAGCCGGGCAGTGTACGAAGTACCTGGGCGCTTCCCGGTGGAAGAGTGAAGCAAACCATGCGAGTTTCCTCGCCGGTGGCATGGGCAAGTTCCTCATAGGTCAAACCCTTGAGGAACGCTTTGTCGACATCCATGAATGCTAAGATCCACTCTGGATGGCATGCCGGATCACTTGCCAGGAGCCCCCGGGACTGCCTTCGAGCGGTTCCCGAGAAGGTTTCCACATCGAATGCCTCAGTGTCCATAAACCCACGAAGGACAGATCTGAGACGGATGGTTTTAACGTTCTCGGTACCTACCTTCACAAACTTCCACATATATATATATATATATATATATATATGGATGTCATGATGTTGGAAGCTTTGGATAAATCATACATCTCAAAGCACGGGTTACCAAGCCAGATCTTGAGTTCAGTGTACAAAACTTCACTAACCTTTTTCGGGTGTGCTGCTATGTCGGCTTTGGTGAGTAGGTCGTCTTCCTTGACTACCACAGCACGTTTAGCAGCAGAGGATACATATACTCTCATCGTTGCGACCATATCAGTGTCGAGCTGTGCAAGTTGAGTCTGATCCAACACTACCTTTGATATTTCTGATGTAAAACATAACTCAACATAGGGACCATATTCATCACTGTCAAGAGAGTAGCCCTCGTCAGGTGTGGTTGAGCATAGAGAGACTAGACTGGGCTCTTGTGGTTCAGGCTCGTCTCCGAGCGTTTCCGACAATGCGATATCTTCTGCGTCCACAGATGCTGAAACCAAAACACATTGGTCGGGCAGCATGGTGGTTGGGACGCAGTAGAGATAATCGTCGGTAGTCGTCGTGGGATGAAGGTCCATACGTAACTCGTCGTACCACTCTTCCAGCATATGGCTTCGATATTATGTTCCTCGTTATCTTCATAGATTGTCGACAGACGGTCTTCACTTGGCGATGAAGCACCTGGGGTGTCTGGTGGAGGCCTGCTTCCAGGCGAATCGCGTTCTCCAGACGCGGTGGCCGAGTGCTGATACTTGGCCAGGTCGTCGTGGAATCCTAAGGAAGGAACATGTGAGGTCAAGCATTGGATGAGTCTGGAATGAATGCTACCAGTGATTTGAGAAATGTTCAGGCCAGTGCCCACACGCCCATAATAGTGGAAAGCTGGGCTAACATCATTGTCGTACTGGATCAGCGTAGACCCGGTGGCGTACTTTACTGCAAGTAGACATGACACACTTTTGGCCAATCTAAGTGCTACTACGTGTTCTACTCGGAAATAGTTTCGAACGAGATACTGTAGTACAAGATGTACGCGCGGGTGAAACTTGCTGTCGTCTGAAAGATTGAGGTTTCCCTTATAGTCTGGGATGTAGCCAAAGACTTTGGCAGGTTTCCCTGCACCGAGGTGTGCCACATACATAAGGACTGTTTGCATGGCCATATTATCCATGCCAAGTTCCCGTGCGAGGAGACATTCAATGTATAGCGCGTGACGAGCTTCAGGATACATCACAATTACCTCACGAGATTCTGCCTAGACAACGATGTGCCCTCTTTCAGGCACGTTACGGATCACAGGGAATGGGCCGTTCCAGCCTCCATGATCGTCCTTAGTGGCAGTGGGTCGATGGTAGTCGACCAGATCCCCTGCTGAGTAAAGGCGAGCACCATCTGGAGCCGTTTTAGCCCTGAGAGCACGATTTGTCTTGGCCACAGCCGTGGCTTGAGTTATTGCTTCTAGGCTAACTTACCTCACCCGACGTTCTCGTTCATGGCCTGATGTCTCGGGTCCCTTGGGAAAGTCAAGGGTGTCGAGGTCAGGAAGGAAGGAGGGCTGGCGTCCAGTGTGTGCTTGGTATGGCGATACTCCGTTGTAAAACGTGAAGGCGTTGGTAACGAAGATGCCTTCAGCCAATATTCTAGTGAATACAACAGGGGTGTTGTGTCTGTTCAGCTCTTCCTCAATCATGTGGAAGACGCCCCTGGGAATACCGTTTCGCGACTCGATTGAAGTCGCGCGTTGGCCAGGCGCTCGGGTACGGAGTGTTGCACCCTTGTTCGCCATCATGGCCTTAGCGGTATCATTGTTCAGGGCGCCTTCTCCGTCTGAGTACAAGACTTTGAAGGGTCCATGATAGGCAATC